GAGCAGAAAGCTGGGGTTGCTGGGAGGGAAGCTGTATCTCAGATGGGCCTTCTACATATGACACCCAGATAGCAGAGTGAAATGTTTAGGGGGAAGATTGTGGAGTCACACAGACCTGAATTCAAATCCTGACTGTCATTTACTATGTTATTTGGGGAAAGCTACTCAACTTCTCGGTCTCAGTTTCCTTGTCTTTAAAACGAGTATATGAACATTTACCTCCCATGGTTATTGTGTGGACTAGAGGAGTGTCAGTGCCCAGTGGCACATCCTAGGTTCTTGGTCCTTGTAAACAGCTAAAGAATAGCCACAGGCAGGGGCCAGCAGAGCAGAGCTGAATTCTTCCATTGTGGAGACGTATGACTTACACACAGTCCCTGCCTCACTCTGTGGGTTCTTCCTATACATACTGAGACCTCATTTTTCCAACCCCAGTCTGTAAATATGGCCTTAGAATGAGAGAGAATGTTTTGAAATGAGGATTGTTCCAGAGTGCCTAGGACTTCCAAACACCATGCTCCAGCCCTTTTCTTGGAGTCCTGACTATCCCAGAGGGATGAGGCTGAAAGTCTCCTTTTATTACTTACAAAACCCTCTCTCTGGGACAGGCTCCATATCACTGGCAGACAGGCCCATTTAATCCCACCTCTCCTCTCTGTGGCCAGAGCTGGGGTGTGGAGAGTCCAAATGTAGAAGATGTCTCAGCGTCCCCTTCTCAAGCAGCCTGGGTTACCTGCTTTGGATAGCAGCTCCACAGCTTCCAGGGTGAAGTTTTGCACTTAATTGGGCACATAATATTCTCTGACCTTTGGGTAGAGGCACCATGGTTGGACAGGATGGTGTAGCTGAAAGAGGAAAGGGCTTTCTAGGGACCAGGACTGATGGCTGAAAGTGAAAAGTGAAATGGAAGTCTTTCCAGGGTCTGCTCCAAGTCCTGGATGTATGTGGGAATGATCTTTCCAGTGACTAGATAGGTGTCTTGAGCTGCCAGGCCAGATAGGTTGCCAGTCCAGAGACCTTTTGCCAGGGGTCTGGCTTTCATTCATTTATTGAGTACCTACTACATACCCGGCCCCATATCTGGTGCTATAGCTTCAGAAACAAGTAAGCATGGTCTCTACCAATAGGAGCCCCAAACCTGGCTCCTTAGCATGTGGAGGATCTTGTGGGATGGGAGAATCTCTTTTGGGAAGAGCAGTGTGTAATCAATCGCTCACACACTGTTTTGTCTTGCTTACTCTGAAACCCAGACCAAAGCCCGCTTCAGCTTCCTCTACTTTAGGAGAGTCCATCAACATCCATGGAGCTCCAGTGGTCTAATGACCCAAGAGTTGGACTGACAACTCAATCCACCAGCATTCACTACTGGTAAAAGATGGACATCTCCTGCACAATTTAAAAGCCTTTGAAAACTCTCTGGAGGGTCAGCTATGAGTTTGTTCTGACTCATTGGCAGTGTGTTCGAGTTGTTTTGAGTCTTCAATATCTAGGCCTAGAAGGAGCGTGGTTTCAACTTTCTGGTTTTCTGTTACTTCTGCCTCCTGCCCCTGAGAATCTACACCCTGAGCCTCCATCACCTGGGGAGGTCCATCCACGTGGTCAACATCAACAACTGCTTCATATCTCTCTCTTTTCTAGTCTTTCCCTTGCCTTCTTTTGTCCTCATCACTTCCTCTGCTTTCTTGTGTTCTTTCCTCTCTTCTTCTTACCTGCACCTCCAGCTCCAACATCCGCTCCCAGCCAAGCCCCAGGCTGTTTGTTCTCTTTGGAGGGAATTCCAGTCAGAGCAGCCGGTTTAGTTCCTATGACCACTGTCCTGGGTCAGCCTGGGCTTCCCTAGGCTTCCTGTGTAGAAGGCTGTTCCCTTTACCCCCTCTCCCCTCTGGGCTCCCATCTTCTCTGAGCTCCTTGGACAGGACCTTCCAACTCCAGGGTTTTCTCTCAACCTCCTTGCTTGGTTCCCTCCTTGCCCTTTCTCTTGCCTCCATTCCTCCCTCCCTTCCAGAGCAGACTTCCAGGACACCACCCTTTGGCTAATTTTAGGGCGACTCTCTCTCTGCCCTTGTGGGTAATGCCAGTGTCCTCTCCTTGCTCCCCATACCTTTCTCTGTCCTCCTTCGCAATCCATCATTTCTGCTGTCCTTTCCATCTCCTCCACCCCTTCCATCTCTGCCTGGGGGTCTCCTCCGGCTTCTCTGAGGGTCCTCTGCATGCTTCCAACCACTCCCTTTGCCTCCTCTGTCTCCTCTCCTCTCTTCCTGGTCCCAGCTTCCTGCTCCTCCCCCTTTTTTCTCCCTCCTCTCTCCCCCCTCCTTCCAAGAGCAGACTTCCTGTGGCCTTTTCCTCTCGTCCCTGCCCCCCTCTTTCCTTTGCAGCCTCTGTAACCTGTCTTCCCACCAGGGCCCGAGTATACAGAAAATAAATAAATAAATAAAAAGGTCAGCGAGTGGAGGGAGCAGCAATAACCCCTAAAACAGTACTATCAGTGGAACATGATTGATCAATTGAATTCCATAGCGGCTGAAAAATGTGGGATTAAGTAGTGTATTATACGCACAATGAGTTGAGGCATGATGTTCATTTCAAGTTCATTTCGCCGGCCTCTGCCACCAGATCAGGCAATCAATAGGGGCAGCAGATATCATATATCACCTCTCTGCGGGCTGGGGAGAGAGCACCATAATCTCTCGCAAATTTAGAGTGACAGATTTGTCAAGATCTGAAGGGCCCCTGAATAAATGAAGGAAAAGAGACTCCTCCAGCCAGTGACCTGAGGACAAAGCTTCAGTTCAGCCCCTACACACACACACACACACACACACACACACACACATACACACACACACGGTAAGGCAAGCCACACAGAGGTATACACATAAATGTACATAGAAGCATGGTGTGAGTCTTCCCACAGACACACACTTGCACATGCTTGCACACACACACACACACACACACACACACACACACACACACACACACACACACAAGATCTATGAGCATGTTCTCACAGACAAGTGCACACTTTCCCTCCCAGAAGCCTTTGGTGGCACTATAGTCAGCACACACAAAGATGCTTCCTGCCTCCCTTGGCTCTGACAGCAGGGCTTTGCAGAAATGTAGGAGGGCTCTAGGATGGGAGAATGAGACACAATGGAACATGCGAACAGCTACAGGACGAGGGATCAGGATAGCTGGACTTCCTGGGAAAAGGAGCAGGTACAGGAGAAATGGGGGCGACATGGTACGAACTTCCTGGTGATCACATATATGTGCACATGTGTGCACACACATGCACACATGCATTCCTTCGGACAGGTTCTCAGAACCTTCACTTACACACGTATGCAGACATTTCCTTTATTTGGAGGTTTGCCCATGTACAAATGTGTAAGCACAGGGAACAAACCCACAGAAAGGGAAAATAAATGTGCCCCACCCTAACTCACATACAGGAATACGTTTGTCCTCCAAAGCTGAAAATTACTCCAGAGCTTTTATACATATATACATCAATAAATAAACACAACCAAGTTTATGTCCATATAAATAACATCAAGACTCTATGTGCGTCTGTCTGCCTCTGATTTGATTTTGGTCTTAATTTCTGGTGCGCTCTCTCTCTCTCACACTCTCTCTCTCACACTCACTCACACACACTCTCTCTCTCTCTCTCTCTTTCTCCTTTGCTTTCCCACCTCCTTCAGAATAGAGTAGAGAGAAGAAGGAAGGCCCCTTTGGAAGGCAAGCGCCTGTGCTCCACTAGGAGGCCAGCGAGGGAGGCTGGCTGTAGGTTGAGGTTAATCAATATGTAATATTTTCTATGGTCTCCCGAATGATACTGTACGGTGTTACTGTATATAATGCAATATTGATTATATCATATCATATAATCACCTATAAACTGATATATATAACAGTCCCGGAGGAACACCCTGGGGCCTTCAGTGCAGGCTAGCCCCAGGCTCGTAGCTCCTCAGCTGATTTTAGACTGGAGGAAACCAAGGAGTGACCAAGCTGGGCCTGGGGAGGACCCAGTGTTCATCATGGTGGTGACAGATGCTCTAGGGGACTCAGCTGACACTTGGTCCACTGCATGCTCTGAAAACAGTAGCAGGCCTGATGTAGGAATGTGGAGATGGGGGGTGGGGTGGGCAGAGATGACAGAGTCAGGAGGAAGCGTGGTAGAAAGCGTGGCCTAGGAACAGCCTGGAGAGGTTATGCGTGTGACACGACAGTAGCCTTTCCTTGGTGGGGAAGTCTCAGCCCCCTGAAGGGTCCAATAGAAGAATCAGGCAGCCAAGGAGCTGGCTTTTGACCAAGGCCTGAGCTCCAGGCCAGGGGAGAGACAGAGCAAAGGGTGACCAGGGCCTGAGCAGCAAACACAAAGAGCCTGTCCCTAGTGCCTGTCCTCCTAGGTGCTTTACGGCTCCTGTAACACCTGCTCGCCTGCTCCACATCCACCAGGGCCACCCCAGTGAAATGCCTGCACATTGCTTTCAGCACCCCTCCTCCCTCAGCGGTGAAGTTAATTACTTCACCCAGGCTCCATGTACACTCAGCCTCGGAGATTTGATGATTTTCAACCCTTGGAATCAGTGGAACTGAAATTCATCTTGGAGCCGAGTTCAATTCTCCACAGGCTTGGTGATGCCAGCCTGAGTCACCCAGAGCCTCCCCCAGGAGAGCTGGTTCGGGGGGAGAGGAGGGTCCAGGTAGAGGCAGCTGTGCGGACCCTTCCAGCTCCACCTCTGCCCAGTCCTTCCCCATGCCAGGTTTTGACAGTCCTTGCCTTCTCTTCCCAGCTGCCCTCTGAGACCCCAGCTTCCTCAGCCAGGGCTCTGAAGCCCATCTAGCCTCCTGGGTCAGCTTTCCAGCCTAAGAGCTGGGTGTGAGAGACCCAAGCAAGGATACAGAGCCAACTACCACCCCTTTTCCCACTCTGCCACCCCTAAGCCCTGGCCTGGCACTGATGCTGCAAATGTCTTTGTGTCCTTCAGATGTGTCCGAGGGCTCAGTCCCCAATGGAGACTCCCAGAGTGGCGTGGACAGTTTGCGGAAGCACTTGCGAGCCGACACGTTCACTCAGCAGCAGCTGGAAGCCTTGGATCGGGTCTTTGAGCGCCCTTCCTATCCCGACGTCTTCCAGGCATCAGAACACATCAAATCCGAACAGGTGAGGAAGGCGCCTCTGTTCACAGGGCTGGAAGGGACTGGTCAGAGCAAGCAAGGGCCCTGGAGACCTTGCAGGTGGCTCGGCCACGTGCATACCAAGCAGGGCCTGCGTCACACACGGGAAATTGAGAGTGTGTAGTATGAACTTCCTCTTGCCTGGGACATTATGATGTTGATGTTGTTATGTGTCATCAAGTCAGAACTGACTCATAGCTGACCCTTGAGAAGGTTTTCAGAGGCAGTAAATCATACAAGAGGAGACTGGCCATCTTTCTCCCATGGATTAACTGATTTGAACCATGTACCTTTGGGTTAGAAGTGCAACCCTTTCCCACTAAGCCACCAGAGACGGGATCCAGATGGAAGAACACGGCCTTGGGAGATCCCCTTTCAGAGACTCAGTTTCTCCATCTGTAGAATGAGCGTGCAGGCACTCTGTAGATCTGGCATGAAGTCCTCAAGGGCAGCCCCTTGCTGTGTCTCCACCCCCCTCCCCCCATCTTTCTGGGCTCAACAGCAAGTCCATGCAAACTTGTGGAGCCCTTTTTTCTTGGTGTCAGGAGCCTGCCTGCCTCCTGCTCCCAACCTGGACGTCAAGTGTGCTCACATATAGGCTGGGCTGCCCACCACCCAGACCCCTTACTTCCTGCGCATGTAGAACAGTCCAGAACCCTTGGCATGAGACACACACCCCCACACCCCCCATCACAACACACGCATGTATAGAAACATGGCTCCTAACTCCTCACTTACACCTCGCACCTCCCCGTCCACATCCTCCTTCCCATGCTTGCTGACAGTCCGCAGCACTCACAGCCAAACCCCGTCAGCCCCATGGAGCCAGAGGGTAAAGAGTGTCCAGATCACCAGCTCCACACACCCAACACCCCCCCAACACACGTCAGGCCTCGCATGAAAACGCAGGGCCAGGTGCCCACTGCTTCTCCACAGCCAGCCCAGGACAGGCGTGCACACTGCACAGTATTATATACTGTGTTTGTACATGCACGCGCGCTCACATGCGCGTGGGCACATGTGCGTGTCCACACGTTCACATACACTTACACCTGCACACACACAGCCCAGCCAGCTCCCGGACTCGGCGTGGCACAGTTCACTCTAAGTCTCCAACAGCTCCCAGCCACTCGCCTTCCTCTCCGCCCGTCCTTTTATCCCATAAGCTGTTTGTCTTCATAAAACAAAAATCAAAAGTCTTTTTAAGGTGCCCTGAGCCATAAACCAACAAAGGAGGAGCCGGCCAAGGCGGGCGGCTCGGTGCACCCTCCCCGAGTCCCCGGCTGTATTACAATGAATAACCTTTATTTACTTTCATTAGACTATTAAACACCAGCACAGTCATTTTTCCCCCTGAAACTCGGAGCAGGGCCCATAAAGCAAATCCGAAGCCTAATTGAGTTCATTTTAATTTCTCTCCGATCACAGCGAATTACTCTGGTGATAAATCAGGGGGCAGCTTCACCCCCAGTAGAAGGCCTAATTTGCAGCTAATTACAAAACTGATTTCTACAGGAAGATCAATACGAGAAGGAATTGGAAATGACGAGGCAATCCCGTCCAGTCAGGGAGGGGAGGGGGCCCTCTGGGGGGGCCAGGAAGCGGAAGGGGAAAAAAACGGACCCGAAAGAGCAGAAAATCAGTTTTAATTTAACGTAATATTAATCAGAGCAACTTTTCCTGCTTTGTGCAGACTCCTGGTCGGCCCAGCTCTGGGGTCTGGCTTGGCGGTGGCTGCAATAAAAAGGCAATTACCCGAGTGTTTCGGGCAGGACACCCTTTCAGAGTCAATGACCGGCCCCCTCCTACCCTTCTGTTAGCCATGTGGACTCTCCCCCTCCCCAATTTCATACCCCAGTGCACAAGGAGAGAGCAAGGGGCCCATGGGGCTGTCTTTGTTTGTTTTTTAAAAGGGGGCACCCGTACCCGATCAGCTGGCCCAGCAGTGCCAAGCTGGAGGCTCCACTAGGCCCCTTCCCCAACCACTGTGCCGTGCCATTGCATCATGGTTGGTCCGCCCCCGGGTCCCTTGAAATATTTCTCCGATCTCAGCACAGAGTCCCCTTTCGGCCATTCTACACTTGGGGCTTCTTGGGCAGGAGGCACTACAGAAACTTACAGGATCCTGGATACCCCCCACAATGTGTTGGCTGCATCTCTAGCTTCACAAAGTCAGGCCTGCCCCCACCTACTCTCATATGGAGAGCCCACCCCCTGTTCTCCCCTCCCTCTGCCAGGCCCTGGCTCCTTCCACCCCATCTGGGAGGGCTCTGGGCCTCCTCCCCATCTGCACACCGAGCCCTTTCTCTGTGTGCGCATCAACAGAGAGCTGTCGCTTTTCTTCCTCCTCCCAGGGGAATGAGTACTCCCTCCCAGCCCTGACCCCTGGGCTTGATGAAGTCAAGTCGAGTCTATCTGCATCGGCCAACCCGGAGCTGAGCAGCAATGTATCAGGCACACAGACATACCCTGTTGTGACCGGTAAGGGGGCGCCTCCAGGAGGGTAGGGCCACTGCTTTCAATGGGGGTGCCTGGGCCCCTGACATCAGGGGACCAGTGTAGGAAGAGGGTCCGCCATCACATTTGCAGAGAGAGCAAGCTTCTGAAACCTAAGAGTACTTTCTGGAACAGATGTGGGAAGAAAATTGTGGGGAGGGTGTCTGTGGACTTGAGCTTGGAAAGGTAACTTGGCATCAGCATGGGCTGTGGTTGGTTCTTTCTGCCCATTCTCTTGCCCCTCCCATTTTCTCCCTGGGCTTCCCTGGGGTGCTCAGCTGTATGGACCTCAGCTTTTGACAGGAGGACACAGGGGGTGCATGAGCCAGGCTGACAAAGGAGCAGGGGTTCTCAGTGAGAGTTCCCCAAGGCTCCTGTGAGCAATGTGGGTATCTGTGGCTTTGAGGCCAGGGCACCACTTCTGTGGGATTGTAGAAAGGAACAATTACTCTGGCTCTTCGGCTTCCTAGAGAGATCACTGAGTCCAAGTTTTGCTTCCCAGGCCAGGCAGGAACCCTAGTCCAATGTTAGCTGAGGGGCAGCATGGCCAGGAGTCCCATGGGCTAGGAGCAGCAGGGGCAGCTTGAATGGAAGGAAGGTGAGGTGTGGCTTGTGGAAGGACTCGCTGAGGAAGCTCAGGCCGGCTGTGAAGGAGTGTGGCACCACAGAAGGGTTTCCAGGCCAGGGAAGTGCCCAAGTGGGAGAGACACACATTGAGGTGTTATTAAAATTCACCTAATTATTCTGGAAACACTAAAGCCAATGTGCCGTTAGTTCCCTGGGAGACAGGATGATTGAGAAGGGTCTCAGAGGGGATAGGGAGACGCTGAGGCGTTACCTGCCAAGCGAGCAGCATGGAGGAGGCCTGGGGACCTGGTAGCGGGCTGCAGGCAGCTAGCATCTCAGCCAGTAGCAAAGACAAGGAGCCGATGCAGCCCTGACTGGAGGATGGGGCCCTGGTCATGACATAGAGCTGATGTGAGACTGCGCTGAGCTGTGAGAGGCCACCCAGCCCCCACCAAGAGCTTGGCAGAGCCTTGCTGTTGCCTTAAAAGTGTCCTGGTGACTGGTTCCAGCTTAGAGGGAGTCGAGCTTTGGTTAGACAGTTGGAGTTTGAGTTCTGCAAGTGTTGGAGAGCTTGGTTGGGTTTTTCAGTAACAACCTTAGCCGGGTCAGCATATATTTATTTATACCATCATGTCTGACCCTCCAGCGGATTGTCAGATGTGTAAATCACACAGGAGGAAACTGCTTATCTTTCATCTTTTGGAGCAGTTGGTAGATTCGAATTACATGCCTTTGGGTTGGCAGCGCAACGCCTTACCACTAAGCCACCAGAGTCCGGTTCTAACTGATGTCAGATGACCCACCGTAACCCACACTGGGCACTCTGACTTGCTGGGTGTTCAGACCTAAAGTAGATAGACACCCCATCCTAGGCCATATTCCTCCAGGCCTGCTTAGAGGTATAGTGGGCCTTCCCCAGGATGGCCCATCCCGGGCAGTTGGCCCAAGGGAATCCAGAGGACTTTGTTGTAATGCAGGACCTTGGGAGGCAGGCTGTGCAGGGAAGGGCTTCTGCGGCAGTGGAGATACTTGGGCTGGTAGAAGAAAGTGACTCCACCTTGAGCTCCCCTCCTCCCCCCCCACCTCCCCCCCTTGGCCCTGGAACTGTCCCAGCTCAGCCTGGGAACATCTCCGGCTGATCCATCTGGATCCAAGTGTGAGAAAAGTTCATTTCAGACCCAGCTTGACATTCCCAGGTGGCAAGTTAGCACTAACATCTCAATCTGTATGCGACATTTCAATCAAGCGAGGAGTAACAAAAGCAGAACCATTAACATTCAGAGCTGTTCACCAGTGGTAATGACGGGGAAACTCGCTCAGAAACTGGAAATTGCCAAAAAGAGGGAAGTGTGTGGTGAGGTGGGGGAGGGGAGGCGGAAGAGGGTATCAGGGTGGGGGTAGGGAATGATTTGTCTACACATAGGCCAAGATCCAATGTTTGGATTAATGGTGCCGTTACCCGAGAAAGGGCTGCAGATTATGCTCATTCTTAAAATGTTTTTTGCTGGCAATTAAATGGCTGCAATTATTGATCTTTGTTGATTTTATGTCCTCCTAATTTGCATAATCTATTAAAGATGAATGATTCATGACGTGTTTATTATGGGGACAAACGGAATTTGCTGGAGGTACTACCAAAGTGAGCAATGGGGCAAGGCCCAGAGCCTTCTTGGGCCATCTCAGGAGTGGGCTGGCAGGTCAGCTTTCCCAAAGACTCTGTGTGGCCCACAGTTGTGATGGGAGGAGAGTGGACACAATAGGGGAACTTCCGGTGAGTTCTTCTAGAAACAGGTTGACATCATTCAGTTTTGCCTCCCAGCAGACCTGGGGTGTGGGAGACACTCTGGGTGTATTTGTAGAAATTCCATTTCAAGATTCTTTAAAAGTTTATTTTCTTGGAGAATAGCAAGGGCTTTAGTGGAGGATGAGGAAAGAAAGTCTTTTCAAGCAGATGCTTCTAGCCAGGCATGTGCCAAGGGGGAGAGGGCAGTGTGGCCATCCCTGTGGCCATCCCCTGGCTCGGATGCCTTGAGGTGCTCAGGATCCCTCTTCGTGGCCCACGTTACGAGCACCTAGCTCATCTTCCTCAGGGCAGGAAGCTGAGATGGCAAAACTTCAGGGCTGAATCCTGAGGACCTTGGCCCTGAAAGTGCCCTATTCCAACCTGAAGAGCCAGACCTTATTGATATTCCTGCCACCTCCTGACACTGGAGGCTGATTTCAAACTTCACCAGCCACTTGATGCAGCTGTTCCACAAGGTCAGAACTGAGAGGCGAGAGGAGCCTGGACCATTGTGTGAAGGGGAGAGTGGCGCCCAGTGGGCCAGGACACAGCTAATCACATTGCAAGCTAGGGTGACTGCCCGAGGCTGGGGCTCAGCCTGGAAGCCTCCCCTCCCCACCTGCCATTGTGGAACCAAGGAGAGAGACTGATTTCTCTGGGTGGAGTTGGTAAGTTCTGCCGAGATTTTAATTTCACTGCATCACAACTCAGCAAGCTGCCAAGTCAAGCTGGTTATTTAAATTTATCACCCACTTTCCCTTCCGCCACTGGGCTGCTTGAGCTCAGCGGCATCTCTTCTCTCCAGCCCACTGCTCTAGGCTGCTGGTCTGGAACAGAGCCGAGTCTCCTAAGTGATAAGGAAAAGAGGACCAGCGAGGGGAGTGCATGGGTTGAGGGGGACTTTGGCCTCCGCTCCCTCAGGTTGGCTGGCTGTGGCTGGGACCTTCCACCACCTTCTTACCCTTCCAAAGGACCCAGTGTGGGGCTAACCGCTGGAAATCCCAAGGATCTCTGGGTCAGGGATTCCCCAGTGACTTCTCTGCACTGCAACTATGTGCTAGTGGATCCCTTCCTTAAGGTTTCCCATCACCCTGCCTTTTAGTTGTGGTGTTGAGAAGAATACTCACTATCCCATGGACTGCCAAAAGAACAAACAGATAGTCTTGGGAAAAGTGCTCCCAGAGTGCTTCTTGGAGGCAAGGATGGCAAAGCTGTGTCTTACCTACTTTGGGCATGTTGTTAGGAGAGGCTAGTCCTTGGAAAGTGATATCATGCAGTGAAAGAGAGAAAGACCCTCAATAAGATGGATTGGCATAGTGACTGCAGCAGTGGACTTAAGTGTGTCAGAGCTGATGAGGATGACACAGGATAGGGCAGAGTTCAGTTCTTTTGTTAGGGTTTTATGAGTTGTACTCAAGTCAACGACTGATAACAACAACAACAACAACAACTTCATCATTAATTCCAGACCTCCACATCTCTCCTTTCCTGTGCCTGGCCAAGTGTGCACAAATAGTAGAAAGTATGGGTCACTTCCAAGGATGCTGACTAGGGAGGAGAAGGTGAGGCCTCCCGAGGTGCAGGAGTCCCAAGTCCTTGGTAGAGAGTTCTGAGCAAGAAGCAAGGCCACCCACAGGTGACAGTAGATTTCCAACCCTGCAGCCCAAAGGGAACAAGATGGTGCTGGCGGAAGCCAGTGAATTACCTAGCATCAGCTCCCAAGAAGCTGAACTCCACAGCATTCCACAGAGCTGCTGTACCAAGAGGGCTTCGCTGGCCTCTAGTGGGCGTCATTGTCAAGCACTAGGATGGCCTGGTACAGATGTACTTCTTGCCTTTTCATTTCAGTCCCCGAGAGGTTATGCAGGAATGAAACTGACGTCCAGAAACAAATCAAGCTAAGCTTGCCAAAACGTAGCTGGATGAAACAGAACAATACAAATTGTGACTACAGAGCCAAGCCTCATTCCTCAGGTGCCAGAATGAGAGAGAATGCCAAGCCTTAGCAGTGGATGAGAGGATATCACTCTGGAGGGAGACCTCACTGGGTGGCTATTGAGATTGCTGCACATCAGACAGGAGACACACCCTTGGGCCCAAGAGAAACAGGAAGTTTGACCTAATTGACCCTGCATAAAGCCAGGAACAGACATGGGACAGTGTCATCTGTGGAAAGGAAACACACTGACTCATCCCCATGAACCACAGATGCAAATGAGAAAACTAGTATCATCATGAACAATGGAGATTCCCCAGCCAGAGATACAATCTGGTTCAGAATCCAAATTTATACCATGAGTGTGTTTCAGAAACTCCATGTCAAAGATTTACATGAAAATGTGCCCAGAATGATAACTTATTGAGAAGTCCTAGCAGGATCAAAAACAAGCCATCTCTGTAGACATACTATATCCCAGGACACATGTGACTCCCACCGAGAAAAACATCCTTCATGAAAGACGAGCTCCCTATAAAAATTATACACCTTGTGTGAATGCAAATAATGATGGAGAGCTATAGAGACAATAAGTACAATAGTTAACACTCCCCCCCACCCCCAACCAAGAACTGGAAATAATCTAACAAGTCAAACATATCAAATAGGCATGTTTAGCATTGTGGAAAGAAATAAAGA